AAACTATAGAATTCTAATGGCAATTGTTTTGACATAGGTAGACAAAATTTAGTTTATTTAAAGAGTAAAACTACTCGTAATAATAATTTAATAAAACAAATGAGTTATTGAGCTAAAAATTTGACGTGGTAAAATTTTCAAAATATTCTAACTCTTTTTATGATAGTATTTATAGTTATTTGATATTTGATTGTTTTTATATGTATTTTTGTTTGGTAGGTATCTGTAATTCAAATTTCAAAATAATTTAAAAGAAATAACTGAACATTTAACACAAGGTTCATTACAAGTTATGTTTACTGGTCAAAAAAGAAAATTTTAGTTTCTATTTAATTCCAAATTATAACTAGTATTAATAAGTACTTAATTATTAATAGGTGACTTAAATGAAGATGAGTTAGTTGGACTAACCTTAGAAACGTTGATGAAATTTTAATTTCCTCTTTGTCAGAAGATAGTAAGGATGATGGTCACGACTTTGAACTTACAGTACCATTTGTAACTGCCAAAAATGCAATACCTAGAATTCAAAATTATGTTGATACTATATTGTATCTCGGTCCAACGATGGACAGTTCGAATCTCATTTTAGGTTTTAACTTTAATTATTGTATATAAATAAAACTTCACTTTTAAAGTGTAATTTAACCAGTCGTCATTGTTCATAAGTGTCACTTTGACACTTTCATTTAATTTGTATGCCAATGTGAATGTTATATAAATACATACACAATTAATTAAACAACAGTAAGTACTACAAATTAATAATAAGTAATATCTATCGACTATCATTAACTATAAAATAATAATACCTAGTTCATTAATAATAAATTGAACATTTTAGATTTGTTTATTCATATTTAAGATTTGTTAGGTACTTTCATTATTCGTCATCAGTGTTAGGTAGCGGTGTAAACGCTTTATTCCGTTCGTCTACACACCAAAGCGCATTTGCTTCACCATCTATTTCGTGTGTTTGTCAGCGCGGATCGATAACGTAGTGCTCAGATTCATTGACGTCATGGTTGTAGTTTGAACGCTATTAAATGCCAAACTGAACGGCCATATCGTATTGTCCAAAGCGAACGTATACACAGTATATAGTTGATAGTTAGATTAGGCGTTAGGTAGTTTAGGGACCCTGGTTCGATGCTAGGATATGCTGTTGCCATCGCCCCAACAACGTCTAACGTCATCGTTCCACATTTACCACGACTCACTGAAAACACGTGATAAAGCTCGAGGTATATCTATAGAATAATATATTATATAATAGAATAGAATAATAATAAAAGTTGTCTTATTCTGTGATAGAACCTTGATATCTTAAAAGTTAAAACAGTTAAAACCCATGGCGCTCTCATAAACAACTGTAGCCGAGTATAATATAACTAATTTAAATAATATAATTATAATTTAAGTCGGATGATCGAAATTTAATATTGAAATTATAGCTTTCGGAAGTTCTAATATTATGCAGATATTATATGTTATGTTAAAAACTGTATTGGGATAACAGATTACTACTATAGGCGCTGTATCGTTTCCAAAATGGCCATTCAATTTGGGTATCATGTATATTATCTATTTGCACTCCCGATGTTTGAACTACATCGTGTCTACCAGATTTTAGTTTATTCGTATATTATAAGTAAAACTGATTCATAAAATTAGTTAAATCATATCTAGGTATTACATAATATTACATAAACATAATAATTATAGATTTTTATAAATATTATTATTTATAAAGGCACTATATTTAAAAGATATATTTGAATACGCGAAATGCAATACCAATTCAAAAAATATCATTGAGGGAGAATAAATACTCAATTCAAAACAAATTGTATTATGTGGAAAATTAGTGAAGGTAAGTTCCCCATAGTATTAATAATTAACGTACCTCCCCTATTTTCATTTATAGATTATTTTTTACTAGGCGCAAATGATTACAATAGAAGCTATAGATATTCAGTCATCTCATATTAGAGAAATGCTCCACGAAGTAACTGGTGATTTTAGAACAGAACTTGCTTTGGAAATAGTACAAGTAAAATATAATTGTGCAGCTGGGACCCCAGAGTGTTGTAAACATGTTGTAACTATACTTTTATATTTAAACAGGTACCTACCCACATATTTTATAATTGAAACAAATTTTTAATTACCATTGTTCAAATATTTATAACAGAATTATCCATTATAGATGCATTATCATAACTGATATAAGATACGAGTAGTTTCATTTAAGAGAACCATGACTGCAACAATATTATCATATTATCCTGTTCCTATTGAAGAATTGTGTTGTTGCAAACCAATAGTACTAATATCAAAAGGAATATTTGTCAGATTAAGACATTAGGTAGGTATTAGGGATAAAGCAATCTATAGTAAATTTCAAGTATAATTCTTAGCCTATTCTTATGATAACTTTTTTAAATCTATTTTTATTTAATCATCTCCACTATCTACTTTAGCATTGCATACAAAAGATAGAGAGAAATATAGTATTGAAAACAGTCCTCGAGAAAATAATAATGTTGATGTTAATATGAATAATATTATTTGAACACCTCTTAATAAGCTTGATATTGTTAACAAGTTACCTGTTAAGGCAAATAAAATCTTCTGTTTAGGCTAAGTATTTTTAGATTTTTGATCAAAATATTGAAACAGACTATATAGGGAATAAATAACTACAAGATAACACATTTTGGGAAGAGGTAGTAAAGCATGGCATTGTGTGTGAAAATTCTACAGGACAAATCTATATTAACAATATCAATATAAAAATTAATGATTTTGGACACATTTGTCATTAAAAATATTATATATTTAATTAAAAGATACCCATACAATATGTCCCTGGTTAAAATATTCTCCCAGTAGTGTAGTTTTGAATTCAAATAACAAACCTCTTAAATTAATAGAAA